AGAACATCCTGTTTCCACTCATATTAGTCTCCATGATTGCACCCTTCTTGGGATGATATACTTTGCAGGTTCCATCACGAATCAAAATGGTCAAGCCTCTCTCCTGCAGTTGTCCAAGGCTTAGTAAATTGTTCTTGAGCTCCGGGACATAATAAACTTCAGATATGACTTGGGTGACTCCGTTAACTCGTATTTTCACGCTTCCTTTTCCCACCACCGACATTCTTGTGTTATTGCCAAGTTTCACAGATCGGTTGAAACCTTCTTCCAATTCGAAAAACCAATCTTTATATGATTGCTACACCCGGAATCAAGGAACCAAACTTCTTCTTTGTTTGCCCGATGATTCTCAAGGTAAGACATCAAAAGCAGCTCTTCTTCTTCTAGTTCAGTAAAATTCGCATTCTTTTCCCATTCAGGACACTCGTTTTGATAGTGCCCTAGTTGGTGACATTTGTAGCACTCGATAATAGCACGATCAACTGCGTTTCTTCCTCTTCCTCTACCGCGTCCTGCTCGGAATCTTCCGCGACCTCTTCCTCTACTAGGTCGTTCAACTTGAGACGCTTTAAGTGCCAACTCTTCTTGCACAGATCCATTCAATCGCTGCTCATGGACAAGTAGGCTGTCATGTAATTCATCGATACTCATCATGCTCAGATCATTCGATTCCTCAATCGAACACACCACATAGTTAAATCTCGAGGGTAGTGATCTGAGAATTTTGCTCACGATCGTGCTTTGCTCCATTGATTCACCATTCACCTTCATCTTGTTTACCACTGTCAAGGTTCTTCCTAGAAAAATGTCGATCGTCTCTCCTTCTTTCATAGCCAGTAATTCGAACTCCCTTCTCAGAGCTTGCAATTGCGCCCTTTTCACCTTTGTAGAGCCTTGATACTTCTTTTTCATGGATTCCCAGATCGCCTTAGAAGTATCTTTGTCAAGAATAGTTTCCAGAATCTCTCTGTCAATGGACTGGAACAAGAAATTCTTGACCTTCAAATCCTTCAATTTCGCCTCTTCTACATATTTGTTGTGCACCTCACTCGCCTGTGTTGTTCCGATCAACATTGCCAGAATCTCATCTTCAACAAGGTTCCATAATTCTCTGCTTCTCAGAAAATTCTCCATCGTCATGGACCAGAAATCGTAATGGCCATCAAATTTTGGGATGACTGGCTGCACAAATTTCTCATATTTGTCAGACATCTCTCTTGATCACTTTCTCACACAGGTTCAGGTTCAGGCTCTGATACCAAATGTGAATATGAAGATGAAAGATGTATTTATTAAACAAAGATCATGGCATTATATAGCCTTACAGGAGAAATAGAGAAATAACAGATAAGCTAAAAAATAGGAAACAATTCAACTATGCCTAAAAACTGGAAAACCGTAAATGACTTATTCAACTAAGATAAATTCAAACTCCAACACTAAGGCCACTAATATATAATATTTTTGTTAAAAAAAAATGCAAACGAATAAACTGAATATATGCAGTTAAATATATGATATCTTTCCTATGATTGAAGAAGTTACTCTATTTTAGTAAATTAATAACATAAGGTTACCCAATTTCAAAATTAGATTCGTAAGTTTCTTTATTTTAATTAAGGATGGTAAAGTTTATCAATGTGTGCTCTTACCCACTCTGAAATTCTCATTAATAAAAGTGAGTTGAATATTAAATACATACTAAGTACCCAAAAAATAGATTATACAATGACATCTTACCTAACAAAATATTTAAAATATTAATTCATTCAACCAATTACTACACTACATACAAAATAGCAACTAAATATTAAATTAAATAAAAACAAATTTATGGTGAATATTCTATCTTATTTTTATTTGTTCCATCTTAAAAAAATCTTATTGGTCAGTTAGTTAAAAAAAATTATATATAATTTTTTATATGTATTATTTTTAAAATATATCTTTAATTATATGAATAAATTTTAAATTTTTTATTTATTAATTAGTATTTTTATTAGATAAATTAAAATAATTATTATATTAAAATAATTTATTATAATTAATAATTTAAATTTAAGTGATTAATTTTTATAATTGAAATTATAATATTATAATATTTACATATTTTAATAATATAAAAAAAGATATATTTTTTTAATTTTATTTTTAAATTTTAATTTTAATATATAAAAATATTTTTTAAGCGGGTCAATTTGTTGTATTTATTATTGGTTGTTAAATCTATGGACTAAGTAAAATGAGACAAAAATGGATCGATAAATTAAAATTATCAATTTCTTTCTTATTTTTTAAGTGAAGGGAATGACTAATTTACTAAATCTAATCCATTTTATTATATTAGAATATTAAAAGATCACCAAAAATCCCCTTTATTTTATTTTTCTTTTAAGGTTCAAATTGTTTTAATAAAGTTAAAGTTAACGAAATTGTTATAGTGTTGTGCCGAGGTTTTATCAACCTTGACACGATCGCCATTAGAAGTAATCGATTTGAAATTTGACTGTAAAGTGAAATATTTAGTGTACTCATACACGATTATACACGTCCCATGTGCTTTCTAAGATACTTTTTTTTCATAATTAAAAATTTGGAGACAGTTCACTGGCAAAATTAAAATTTGTCATCTCAATGTGATTGATATTTATTTATTTTGTAAATAGCAGATAAATTATTTTTCTGGCTGTAATTAAAAGGAGACCTGGACATATAAAGTGCACATGAAATTAGAGTTCAGAATTGCCAATGAGTCACCGTCGTTCTAAATTAAATGCTTTCTTCTCATCACATCACAATCTTTAAGTTAGACATTGCACTCACAAATTCATATCATATACAGGTATTACTTATTCTCCAATATGGATCATAAAATCAAGACAATTAATGGGTCTCATGTTACATAATAAATAGAAATAGTAGAGTTTGTTTGAATGAACTTTTGAAGAGATAGAAATTAGAAGAAAATGAAATTATTTTTTAATAAACTAAAACTAATTTATATAAACAAAATTGAACAAATTTAAAATAGAACTTTGAAAAGATGAAGATATAATCAAGTAAAAGCAAACTTGCAGAATCGTGCTTTGTATTCACGTAAACGATTACATGTCTCTGCATGGAATCCTGCTATGTAAACTTTGGAGAGCACACATGAAAGAAATTGCGAATAGCACTTATCAATAATATTAGAGATTGCGAGATAATAATACACACTAAATTTTCTTATATGACAATGTAAAGATGAAATCAGTCATCCTTATAAGGGAATATATATTAGGAATTAGGGTAAATAAAGTGTACCTTATAACAGAGATAAAAAGTTACATGAAAGATGAATTATGTGAGCAACGAGGGTGTTAGAAAGGGTGTGGAATTAATGATAAAAGTTGAGTATACGTGCAAAGGCATTGCGAGAATAAAAGCAGGATTGGTGGAAATTGAATGGAAGAAAATGATGAGGTGGGTACGAGGTAGTTGTGGATTCTGAAATATGAGGCTTCAACCACTTCCTACAGTTCCCACGGGCCATGGATATCATAAATATGTGCCCTACCTTTCCACCTACTCACCAATCTAATCCCTATTCTCTTCTAGATCGCTTATATATTCTACAACATTTAATATTGCCTGCGAATTACTCATTATCGATTAAAAATATAAGGCAGAATCCACCTCTGATTATACTAATTCTTTCTTCCTTATATAAAAACAATACTATATAATTTTTAAACAATAAAATTTGATTGATCTAATATCTAATGCTATGGATGTAATTTTTTTCAAAACTTTCTAAAAATATGTGTTTAAATAATATTTATGTTGGAGTATTTCACTTTTCATTAAAAGAAAATAATAAATATAACTAATTTTTTCTTTTAAAGGACGGTGGAATCTTCGACAGAAAACGCTAAACACATAATCTATGTTGTACAATTTCTCAACAAAGTCAACTAAATGCCCTGAGTAAAATTGACCAAATTTTTTTAGTAAAATTGATGGTAGGATCTAACTTGCGTAGGTGTTTGCGATGTGACAGAGGATTCATTACAATATGTATATTCAATGATGCCAATGTATTTTACAGAACAATTAATGCAAACCTGTCACATTTTAATTCCGTTGGAATAAAATATATGTAAAAGCTTTGCTTCAAATTAATAGTATAGATTTGCCAGTGACAAAAAACCATTTTTATTTATGTCAAGTAATATTTTGATACTTCAATGGTACATACACGTTTGGAAGGAGAGAGAGAGAGAGACGTGGAAAAAAAATGGTAGATGTAATATTAATTAATAAAAATCAACACTTCATCAAAAATAGAAATCATGTATAAATCATAATTTGTTAAAATAAGTAAAATTTGTTTGGTTTGAAGATTTTTTAATACATTGATCGATGTTACCTGAGAATCAAATATATTGTTTAGCATTTACTAAAATATATTTAAAACTTTTGTTTGATTTTCTGTTTCTGCCAAAAATAAAATGCATATTAATTTGTTAATCCTCAACGCGTGTAATTTAATTGAAAAAAAAAAAAGGCAATTATTTGTATCAATTTTTAAACAACTTTCTGAAACAAAACATTATATTTTCTCATAAACACTTTTTTCCCAAACATGTTGCTCTAGTACACAAGTGGCTCAACATGCACACGCTCAAATGATTCTTCAGACTTTGTTGCGATCTTTAAGAAGACCTGCATGTTTGACCATCATTTCACGTACCTTTCTACCAAAAAAAGTCAATCTTCACTTTCCACGTGTGTAGTGAAAACCTAGTAATGCGCAAAAAAAATAGCGTAACTTGTTAAGTTTCAGTTTGAAGTGGATCTACCTTAAGACCAGTTCCAGCAATCTGAAAGCATTGCTCTCAAAATAGGAAACAACACACTACTTTTAAACTCCCCCCCCACATTCTATCTTCTACCAAGCTTGCTCCTTTCATCACTCTCAAAGACTAAACTAAACTAAACAAATCTTGCTAGCAATTGCAATGGCCAAATATTCCAAGGTAATGCTCGTGTTTGGTCTTGGGGTGCTGGTGGTTAGCATGTGGTGCATGAAGGGCACTGAGGGTAGCATTGAAGATGATTCTGGTGCCACCATTCACGCAGTGAGGCGTGAAGAACCTCCTGAAGGGTGTGGATCAGGCCACACCGAGGGAGGAGCGGAACAGTGCACAGACGAAGATGACAGACTCGGATTGTATGCTGATGTTGATGACACTTTCAAGGCTGCCATCAAGAGAGCCGCTTCTCATTTCCATTCTCATGATGACGCTGATGACTCATCGAATCTTGCACACAATGTCTTAGGACATTGACACGATTAGTATGTTTGGTTTCACGTTTCAGATGCGATTTTTCACCTTTCAGACTGTGGTTATAGTAATACTTCCACATTCTTAACGTGATTCCTTCGTGTCTAACGAATTTCCGAACACGCTAGAAGAAGGATTTGTTTTCAAGTTGTTGCTGAGTTTAGAGTCCAGTTTTTGTTTCCATTATTTTTTGTCCTCTTCGTGGGATATGCAGAATTTATTTTGGTTGGTTTAGCTTAAGTATTCGTCTTTATTGTCTTGGTTGAGTAAGTGTACGTAGGATCCAGCAATAAAATTGCTTTTACAATTTGAAAACATCGTTTCTTTTTCCGTTGGCATGGATTTATAGGTGAACATTCATATATATACCAATATCTACATGAAATATTACTTCACCTATGCAATTATATAGGCCACAAATTGTAGGTCAAAAGCTTGCCATGCTATAGTTAATTGCTAAACCATTAATATTATAATGGGTGCACGAATGAACATTCAAGGTATTAATATTATGGATCGAGTTCTAAGAAATTACAGGTATCAACACAATCAATCATTTATCAAAATAAAAAATGTTTCTTATAATCTTCGTCAAGTAATTACAAATTATTAATTGCTCTCTCAGTGTATTCATATACAAAACGGATCCTCAATAAGTCTTTAAAAAAACTTGGCTAAAATCTCATATGATTAAGTCGGTACATAAGTTCCATTGCCTTTCGTGCTCTAATTCTTATACAAGTTCAGTTTCGTTTCAAGACAATATTGTTGGAAATATTTGTACATTTAAAATAATTGATATAAAGTTAATCTATTTTTTATATAAGAATTCATAATTGATTGTAAGTGTACTAGCGTAGTGAAAGTGGCAGCTAGCAGCAAGCAGGATTACTGTGATTATAGCTTCCCATTCATCAGCTATTATCTGCATCCTTATTATTTTCAGTTTTATTTAGCAGGGGAGAAAGTGAAACCGGCTTGAATTCTAAATAGGTTTTAGTGAGAGAAAAAAACTAACAACAAAAGTTTGTTCCTTTATTTTTGGGGCATTTTGTTGAGATGCATGTGTGCACAAAAGATTAAAAAAAAAAAGCAGCAGAAAGATAGAAATAACTAAATATATTACTATGCAGGTTTAATGTTCAAATAGTAAAAATGGTTTTACTAATTCTCACTCCTTTTTAAAATTTGATCTTACCAGGTTTTCCTATGTCATTTAGGTACATGACTATTTATAGGCTCGGGTCCCCCCTTCCTCAAATGTTTTCTCCTATGCTCAAAATTGGAAGACTTGTCCCACTGCAATGTTAAAAGTTAACAGCAAAAATGCTTGCAAGAAGACTAAACATATATTAACTACCTGACCCCTTAAGTCAAGAGTTCATACTTAATTTTTCATTTTCATAATACTTGGAAAAATGTACAATCCGAGTAATATAAGTTTTTCTTAAAAAAACGAAGTCTATAAGAACAAGAACGTAAGAGCAAAAAGTTTTTGATATATAACTAAACTTATCATCAATAACCATGAGATTCTATTAAAAAAAAAAAAAAAAAAGAAGAAGAAAGAAGCTTTATAAAACTTCAAGGAATAACAGAGGGTAGGCAACGCCTGGAAGAAAACAAGAAGGTTTAACCCACGAGGCTATCACCAAATAAGATTTGGTGAAAATAAATGCACACGACTTTATTATGATAAACAGAAAGGCTTATTTCCAAGGTTTAATAAAAATGTGACACTCAAATCACAAAGTAACAACAAAGTTAGAAATGAAATTTCTTACAATTTGACATGCTACGTAGACATTTGAAGGTGTAAGGCTGAAAGGGCAGTAATTTTATAACAAAAAACAGGAACTTTTTCAAGCTTGAGACAAGGAAAGGAGGATAGCCACGGAAGAATAATGGTAATTGCGTCGTTGTGTCTAAATGAATTGACAAAGCTTTTGCTGGTACTCACAAGTCATATATGTGGAAACATGACTTTAATGTATCAAATATTATTGAGCTGGGCCTGGTTAAGTATAATAAGTGGAAAATGAGAGTATATAATAATGTTGAAGTTGACACGGTTCCGCGTGAATTGCTTCAGAACTGTGCTAACGCAGTAGTAAGATCGAAATATCACATTCAGTCTCCAAATAATAAGCATCCCATGGTTACTTTAGCATGGTCATAAAAATTTATAATGAATTTCAAAAACTTGTCCATAAAAGTTTTGTATATTTCAGAACAGCGATTCCCCAACAAGATTGTTTACTGTTGTATACTTTTGTAGATAAGATTTTGCTTGTAATATTAGAAACTGGATATTGTTGAGCAGATCTACTGAGACCAGTAAAATATGCTGTAACTCAATACTACAACCAGAAGCAACTATAAAAGGATTTGAGAAAAACATGGGAAAAAAGAAGTTGGTATAGAATTGACAAGTCACTTATGATATTGCACCTTGACTTGAAATATGGCAGCATGGTACTTGTAAACTTTACCACAAACCAAATTGTCAAGCAGCTTAATCACACATGTGGCTGGTGAGAATCAAGAACCATCCATTTGGATATCAGTACCATTTGGATTAGGTTGGTTGGCATTAAAGGGACTTCCAGCCACATTCTTCTGCATCGGTCCAGCGCCAAATGTAAACTCTGTAGGTGCAATGTCTAGGGGGGGTCGGGTGAAGATTGAAGGAGTTCCGGCAGTGCTGAAGGAAGGAAGTTGATTCGGATCATGGATCTTTGGAAAACCAAAGCTAATTGAAGGAAGCGCAGCAGGCGAGAAACTAGGCAGAAGAGAGCCGCCGCTATCTATCGGTCCATAGATTTTCTGCTCATAATCTTGAAGTTGCTGGTACACACCTACAGTAAGAGAGGAAGCATGCATGTTAGAAAGGTGGAGCCTTGCAAAATGCAGTAGAACACTGAATTTATTCACTACTTGCTGTAGAAAAACATACGAGGTGGTAACATGTAGTGAATAAATTCAGTGGGCGGTGAGTTTTCATTGAAGGACCCAACAGAAAGATGGGAGAGAAGACAGGGGTATCTCTTGGATCGGCATAGTGTCTACCACAAACCAGAAAAAAAAAATATTTACTGAGGTAGCCAAATTACAAGATCAATGAAAATTAAAATGAATTAAAATATAATAATATTAATGTTGTAATTTGTCAATCTTTCATATTCAAAATAATTTGGGGGTTAGGCAACCATACTTATCTTCTACCTTGAAAATTTTGAAAAACAATATGGCAACCTGTGGCCACCCCAAGTCCAGAGGTGTCTTTATCTTATTGTCTCCAGCAAAATGAGCCACAAAATGCATTGCAGTGGGACAAGGGCAACACAAAACAGGAAAGATAGACTACTATGATGCGAAAGAGTAGGACTGAAATTTGAATGAAAATAGTATGAATATTAATGTAGTGAGACCACCATACCCTCCTAAAAAAATGAGCATGCTAGTCTTCAATGCTAGACGATGGGAAGGGAGAATTCCCAAGTTGAAAGCATATCCATGTTGATATTTTCAGCCCCATAAGGGTAGAACTAAGCCATTCCTCAGTAATTTATAGGCATCCAAAACACACAAATCACAACCACTAACCCATAGTACATCACTAATCTAAACTGAAAAAGTCAATTTCGTTGTTCGAGCAATATTTTGGCATTTCATCCACGCTGAATTTTGATAACCACTATCAAGTATTAACTGAGTAGATTAATTTAATTAAGTTTCCATAATGGTCTTCAGATAAATAACATGGCCGGTTAAAAGTCTTCAATTAACCAACACTGAAATCTGATGACTTTACTGAAGACTGGAAGCAAAACTGGATAGGGTAAACATACATACCTTGAGTTAATTCAACAGAAGGTCTACGTTCCTTTACCCACTGATAACTCTGTGCAAGTCTCCATCCTTTGGACTTCATCAAGTATGCAATCACAATAGCTGGAGACCTGTCGTTGGGTACATGTGATTAAGAAAATTTAATGTATTTATATATTACATCCTCATTGAAATGCTGCAGAATAATAACCTCTATATCAATTCTGGTTTTTAATGAGGGTCATCATCACTAACTAATTCAAACTAACCAGTGCCAAATGTCACTGTCATGTTTATCATAGCATGTTGCAGCAATGTCTTACCTACTCTTTCCTGACATGCAATGAACCAGAACACGCTCCTGATCCTTTTCACATTGCTCTGCAAAGGAAGCACACGGCATTTGCTTCATTATGAAGGGCAAAAGGAAGAAATATAAGAGAAAAGTGAATTGTCAAGTTAAGACAAGAATCTATTAACTATCAGTTACTCAGTTAATATTAATTAGCCAAATCAAATGTTATAACTCAATGTAGGAAATAACAGCGTAGGAAGTGTTACTTATATTTAATATTCCATTAATGTAGTCGACATTTTAATATTCTGGAAAACAAATATAGGCAAAATAGAATGTAAAACCAACTCCATCAGGGAATGTTATAAATCAAATGAGAAAAAGATTTAGAGGGATAGCAAGTTCAAATAAATCCTTATACACTAGAGAATTTATTAGAGAATAATCATCAAATGATGGAAATGCATCAAATATTACATTACAAATCCACACTCTTGTGTAAACATGTCTTCCTGTCCATTATCAACAATAGTGGAAGGAAGAAGACGGGGCCAGATTTGCAGACAGCAGGTAAAGGGCATGGTAAGGGACTTGGTGAAAAACCACAAAAAAATTACCAATGTTAAGACAATTTTTAGGATAGAGTAACAGTTGTCCCTCGGTACATAGGTTATCAAATTGTGAATCGAAAGGCCTATCTTTTGAATCATGAATCAGAACATAACACAAACCATAAGATTCAGATCAACTATTAAAATAAAATATACTTTCAACGAAAGAAAGAAATTCGTAAAATAGTGTATAAACAAATAATATCTTTATTTCCTTTATAGGAACATTATTGGGGTTCTTCATAATTTTCTCTCTCACAACATTAACAGTATATATTTGCAACAAAAAACATTTTTTCCAGTCACCCCTTTGTTTTCTCTCTCCATGGCAGCTGGATCTTGAGTGTGTTTCACCTCCTATCAACCTCAACAACATTACAAACATTGTCAGGCTATCCAACAACAGGATCACCGTCATCAGAGCAGGCACAAGCCCTGATCACCAGTCCACAGCACTTCCAATCTAAGCAGCACACAACAACACATTTGAGAGCACCTTTTCAAAATACCATAATCGGGCACATCTCCACTGAGAAGATTTCACTCATCACTGGCTGGTTCTATCACACTAGTGGCTATTTGCCTCCCTGACCCTCAAAGATATGTATTGTTGGAAATAGTGACAAAATAAATATTCCTACAATTCTATCGACTCAGCATGCAATTCTGGGACAAAATGAAACTCCACAAAATCTGTATTCATGGAGCAAGGGCTCAAATTACAACTTAAGAATCAAAGTACCATGTATTTGATATGCATGTTATCACTTTTAACAACAATAAGAACCTAAATAATTTTTACTACAACATAGGACCTGTTACATGATCAAATACAACAATTGTGCTCAACTATGAACCTAGTCTTCGAAGGTTCGTTCATTAAGGCTTACTTAGACAACTTTTGCAAGATTTTACCATTTTTTTCTTTAATAGGTGCTATTGTTTCCTTCTCTCTAATGCATTCATTCCTGGTCTAGTTTTTGTATGTCCACTCATCCACCACAACCTCATCTTTGCCAAACAGTGTTTATGCTCTAATTCCCTCTTTCTCACCCACATTCAATACCAACTATTAAAAGAATAAATTGATTAAGAAAAATATATGATTACAGAGGTCAGAGTCCATGAAATTTACGAATGCTTTTCTTGTCCTTTTTATACCTATTATTTCATTAACCTTGCTGATATCAAAGTAATATACAACAAGACTAACTGTGTTGTTTGTGTAAAACAGTAAACTGTATTTAAACTTCATTCAATGATATTCCAACATGACTATGCACTGTTTGAAAAGTATCAGATTCTGAAAGACCTGAAGTCATGGATGCAGGCAGATGCCCATGATGAGGAAAATTATAAGAAACCACTGTAATGGAGTGATAGATGGAGGGGATTCTCTCAAATAATCAAATTGCTGAAAGAGCTTTCTTCAACATTGACTTTAAGCAGGCCCTTTTTAGAAAACTAGCAGAAACAGAAACAAAGGTAAAAGTGGATGGAAAGGGAAATTGCGATTTTAGGCAACGTTTGGTTTGGAAGGGAGGACTAGTGGGGTGGGCAAGTAGCAGATAAAAAAGTGTAGCGGATTGGTTCATGACATAGTGGAGTAGACTGGTTCATAAACAAGACAGAATAAAGTGGTAGGTACTAAGGAATATCTTTCAAGACCTTTAGTGATTTCCAATTGCTAAGTAAGTGAACAACAAATATGTCAGGTCTCTGGTGATTCTACAACGGTCTTTTCCTTTTCATTTACTGCTTAGTTGTTATTTTTTAGTAGTATGTAAATTGACTAGATTATTCATAGAGAAAATCCTTTAGAAGAACAATCAAAACACTATAAAGTAGAAGTGCAAGTGAACACAATGAAGGTAAAAGCCCACAAAGCAGTTCATTTACTTTGTGTTAAACATGAAGATAAATGTTCCAATAGTAAGTGCAAGTATCATGTTTGGAAGGTATTGATAAAAAAAAATTGCACATGTTAAAAGAAGCACCTGGAAAAAAGAGATAAGAAGAATAAACTTTAAAATGGACAAAAAGGAAAATACCTAGAAACTGAATTGCTTCATCAAATGGCAAAGTTTTGTCATCTGGGAGGCAGTGATAGGTAAATGAGTTCTTGTAGAGATTTTGACAAGATGGAACAGTCTGCAAAGGTACAGAATTCAAAGGCATCATAAGAAGATAAACACACAACAAGTTTGAATAGCAGATTTAAATTGCAAAACCGCTGACCAAGATAGGAATGACATACTACATGGAAACACGTTGAATATCAATCAACTCCATTCTACTTTTAGTCACCTCTTGATATTCCAATTAAAACTAACTCCTTTCCATAAGTATAGACAACAACTTAGTTTCAAGTTCATTTTCATGAGTTTCAACATTAAAAAAATTATCTGCACAATCAGCCCAACGAATGAAGGTTGGGCGTAAGATCCCAATACCACAACATTTATTGAGCTTAAGAATCCTGAATTTACATTTAGTCGGTCATATTAGTCCCTAAACGTAAATTAATTCATAATGTCGGGAACCAATTTGGCTGCAAGACTACCATTCAAAAACCTCCAGAAATTTATCTATTTACTCTGTTCTGAATCTAACATCTATAAACAACTGAATGTTATACTTGGCATCAAGGTCTTAAAAAATGATCCACAACATCAAGGTTTCTGAAGTTTTCCTGACTGTAACGCGTTTTCCCGGGCCTGGCATCATCATTCCCATGCATTGGCGCTAAGAAATTAGAAGTATGCTGTAATGAAAATCCCAATATAAACCACTCCACCTACAATTACTCAATTATTACTGAAACCTCAAAAAACACATAATAATCCAAAAACCCAATCTCACAGCATGTAACCGATAAGCATACCCACAATTCCACGGCAAACATCAAAACATGCATGCATTCATAGTTGATCGTTGAAACATTGAAATTAAAACGATGCCAGATTTCATAACAAATTATGAACAAACAATAACACCCCCTTACATTCAGGATACGAGAAATCCCCTGAGTCTTTAGAAGCTCCGACCGCGATGCGTTGTCGTAGCTTCCCAGGTAAAGAAATTCCGGCAGAATCACGGAAGGAAAAGCACTAACTTGTATCGATGTTTTCTCCGATCCAACCGGAATCCGGTGACCGCAAATCGAACACACTTCTCCTTCTTCATATTTGTGATAGTGGCCACACACGCCACAAGGATTCTCCCTCTCCCTTTTCCTCATAATTGAACAACAGCAGTGGTTTCCTTCAGACCCAGATCGCGAAATAAAACAGAGCAAGAAATTAATTCTCTTTGGAAGTGGAGAGAGACCCAGAACAGAAAAACGATTCAAAAATGAGAAACGAAACACCCAGATCGAGAAAAGAGGGAAAGATGAGAGCTTTGACAAAAGGGGAAAAGAGGGGGTGGTGTGTGGAGACAAGAAGAGAAGAGATAAAGCAAGAAAGAAAGAAGGAGAGATTAAATGGAAGTTTCGCTGTTGAAAGTTTGATGTAATAATAATGCTATCAACGTAGGATATGACGACAATCTATGCAGCTATCTAAGTTAGGAGCACTCATTCGTTTTCATTACTGGATTCTGTTGAAGGAAAAGCATCAGTGATGGTTTGGTGGTAATTATATAGAGAGCGATTTGGATGGATTGGATGATGGTCATGGTGATGGTGATGAAGGATGACACAGCGGTGAATTTTTTGGTTATATGTATTAGTTGATGGATTTTGGGGGCTTCCATATTCTTGGTTGGCACGTGAAGTGAACAATCCAGGTTTCTTATTCTCCTAGAAATGAGAATAGATCTCGTAAAAGCACAACTTGCCTAACACTCTAACCCTCTCAGTTTCTGGTAAATAATCATCATTTCTTCCATCATAACTCCAAACCATTTTCCCCTCCCTCTTTCTCCTCCTATTTGTGTTTTTAGAAAATTTTGTGTCATACATTCAGACGGTAAAAACTTATATTCATGATTGGTTCAGAATGATGTTTTTTTATTGGCTCATAAAGTTATTTTCTTACACTGGTTTTCCTCGAATAATAATTTGAGGTTTTAAAATGTTACTGTATTTAGATCTACGTGCTTCTTGTTCATAGGTACCCTTATTTCGGATTTCTTTTCTAAGTTGGATAACTAATCTTATCTAGAATATGAATATGACTCAAAGAAATGGGAAATCTAGCTTTGTCTTTCCATATCCCAAACATTTTCAAAATTTACTATTTAAGAAAAATCAGAATAGTATTTTATTGATGAGAGCTTAAAATAACAAAAATAATTGAATAAAAAGTAAAAAAAAAACTAATTATTTTATTTTATTTGTTAATTGAGTCTATTAAATAACAATGAGAAAATAAAGGATAAGTGCTAATTTTGAGGACAATTTGGTTGTCAATTTAAGCACTTATTTTTAAAATGCATTATTTTGAAATTTATTTTGTTATAAGTTATAATAATTAAATTTAAATATTTATTTTTAGATCATGAGAAGTAATAATAATTTATTTGATCTTAAATATTGATTTTGCAAGCTCAAACTAATGAAGTAGGAAAAAAGATCAAAATGGAAAAAAATTATTGTAATCAATTTCCTTAAGCAAAACTATCTTAAAAACAAAAACATGCATTAGACATTGTTTAAATTTCGCTAAAAAAAACACTATCGATTTTAATTTTAAAAACGAGAAAGGATTTGAAACAAAAGAAAAACAGTGAAAAAATCGGAGCTGAAAGTGTATCTTTAAAATATTAATTATACTCATGATAGGAGCTTAAAGTTGTGTATTTATAATCAAAGTGGTGAAAATCATAATTTCTCTGTTTTTCCCTCAACACTATAGTTAAGTCTTGCTATATTTTTTCAGTGTTAGTATTTTTTTTCTCTTGTTTTAAAAAAAAAAAAACTATTTCAAAATCTATGCTTTGGTTCCTAAGCAAAACTACTTTGATTCCTAAGCAAAACTAATTTGAAAATATTTTTTTATATAATTTAATAAAATATATGCTTTGTTCAAAACTCCTCTCATTTTGAGACACTTACATAGTGCTAAACTACTTTGGTACCTCTAACTTTGATTGGGATTTGCATGATGCTTGAGTTAGAAAGCTTCTTCAAAAAAAAAAAAAAAAAAAAAAAAAACTAAGCCAGCTTCTGTTTTTTTAACCTAGATTTAGAAAATAGTTAAAAACAGGAAATATAATTTTTTTTTAAATTTTGTCAGAAACTTGTACTATTTTAAAACAAATAGATCCAACTACACATGATCTCAATTATAGAGAGTAATTTGCTTTGAAGGAGGAGTAACCTCGTATAGTTTGAAACCCTAATATCGTCATTCTAAAGATCACGTCTCCATTAGATAAAGATTAAGAAATGGAAGGGTTTTTTCTACCTTGGCAAAATATATTTTCATTATGGGGCAGGAATAAAATTTGAATGAATTTACATGAAATATTGAGTTATCTATGAACGGACTTTGTTGTGGAGAGGTTTATCCATTTGTTGATGTGTTGTTTGTTTGGCATATGATATGATGGTCAAATCAAATTAATGTGCAGAGGGTGTTGATTGATGAGTGAAGTCATGTTCCTTTGCCCCACATATTTTAGTCTTTAGATACGATATCGACCCAAGTTTCGCACAGCTTTTATATAGATAGATAGATAGAAAAGTGTTGCCAAATTAACTTACCAAATATAATGGCTCCACATTAGCAACCTTAATTATAATAAATGTCTTTTATTTCAATCATGTTTTTATTTTTAATGAACTTGAATGACAATCTTTCATATTGAGAAGTTGTTGTTATTGGTGTTTGAATTTTATATTGAATTGTACACGTTGACATATTATTAATATGAATTTTGCATTTTATTATAAATTGATAATTATTCTAAGTTTATAATTCATTTTTTAATTTAATTCCAAACTGCGTAATTAACTGTACCTACCCTATTTTTACATATTAAACTAACTACTATATCTCATACATTAAACAGTTATTAGTTAGTTCTTTCATTAAATGATATATATATATATATATATATATATATATATATATATATATATATTATTATTATTTTGACAAGTACTCTTACGTATACATATTTGCAAGAAGAAAAAAATAGTCAAAATTTGGACAAAATTTTGGGCTAATGAACCGAGTTAGGTCTAGTTTGACTACATTAGGACTGAATACACCAATGTTCAAAAGACAACAAAAAGGAAATAAAAAATATTCATATTTTAGAAATCAAATTTCCGAACAAACTGTATAACTCTAATTTAGTGAAAAGTAGTAGAATGGAAGCCAATTTTTTTCACAAAGAAAAAAACTAAAAATCGTATGAAAAATTTGTGTGAACTGAATTAACCCAAAGATATAAGTGAAATTGGGTGGTGTTTGTGTACCCTTTTTGTTGGAGGAGGTACAACTCATTAGAAAAAAAAGAAGAGAAAACAAAAGAAGTAACGTACAAGCTATCTTTAGTGAGATCATGGTGTGTACTGTATCTTTCTATGGAACAAAATGACTGCTGGAATATCTTCTGGGATGATTGGAAAGTAATGAAGACATGATTATGACTCTCCTTTTTTCCATGGGAATAGATTATGATAACTTTTCCTTTACTAAACACCCAATAATATAGTTTCTCTAAACTAAATATTTTTGTCTAATTAAATTACTTATTTAGATTATATTTCATCTATTTAAAGTTGACATTTCAAAGAAACTACTTAGGTCACTATTTCTGTCTGAAAAAATTAGGTTACTAATCACTTATGATGTGATTTTCTCTTCGACTAATTAATTATATAAACAAAAGTTAGAGGAAATTATTAAAAGACTATTGTTTATAGCATAGACATGAAATAGACTTAGCCTGTGTTTTGTTTCCATCAACGTATTCTATACACATATGTAAAGGAATAATACATGTATCTTTCCATTTATCCAAGTTGATTTGTGAAGAAAGATAGTACGTCTCGCAATTTTATTTACCACTCCAATGAGAGAAATACATTGGTATGATACTAGGTAACTTATTTATTATATTGATATTTATATTAATAAAAAATTTATCACCATAAATATGTTCAATAAATAATTTCTATTTTTATATAAAAGATCTAAAGAAACATACATAAATGTTACATGTTACTAAAATTGATAAATTTATACAATATAGTCAACTAAAAAATTTAAAATCAAATTGATAAGATTTTAAAGTTTTTAAAATCTTTGTCTAAGATCTCCAGCAAAATTAAATTTTTAAAGTAAAATAATTAAATATGAGCTTAAGGAAGGTTAACCCTATTTATAAAAACTTGTATTATATATTTTTAAAATCACATAATCTTTATCCGAATTAAACTTGATCATATCTAATTTTTAAAAATAAAATTAAAATTAAAATTAAAATATAATAAGAATAACCTAAAAAATATTTCAACTGAAATGATTTTTAATTGAATCGTATTATTAAAACAACAATACACAAAATTAAATAATAAACTATATTATTTATTAAATATTTTCACAAATTATTTTTTAACATTTTTTGAAATTTAAAAAATTTCTCATATTTAACTAATACTTTTAATTAACTATATATATATATATATATATATATATATATATATATAATATACTGTAATTTTTAGAATAATTTTTATAATTTAATATTTCTTATAAATATATCCATAAAATATTTGAAATATTATATATATATATATATATACATTTTAATTTATTTTATTAAATAATTACTATATATTAAATTATATATCAATTTGAATTTATATTTTTTTTACTAAAATTATAATAATTTATCTTATTATTTAATATTTTTAATCAATCAAATACAATCTTTCCACTCATTTTTCACTTTCTCTCCCTCAATTTAAATATCCTTACTTTTTCACTCTCTCAAATCTACCCATGATCCAAAAACAAGCTAGATGTTGGGAACACATTAATTACCCATGCTTACTCCGTTTCTTAGTAATACATTAAAAACTTACATGTTAAGAAAAAAACTGAAAACAAATATACCTCTAATTTACAAGAAAGAAACTAAGAAATGTAGATACAACTGGTGACATTTTTGTCCTCTTTTTGTTGATAAACCGATAATGGTGAAGAGTGAATTGACTTTGAACACTTAGGCGTACATAGATTTGAAGCCTTCTGTAAGAGGAACCACTTTTGCTGACAGCCTGGACTGCAATTTTGAGGCAGCTTGACGAATATCCTGAGGAATTTAAATAAATAAATGTCTGTTTTATTCACTCACTTTTCTTTAAAACTTAGATGTAATTCCTTCAGAGGTTTTGGTATTGTTTAATCTTAATGGGATTTGTATTTCACTAAATTTACTAACTTTTTAGACATACATTTTTTTTATTACAAAAAAAATTGAGATAAAATTTTAATTCTGATCGAAGATCACCACAAAAAATAGGAAAATACCAGACCTAATAAACCATTAGTCAATATATCGGGGTATCATAAAAATACTCTAGGAGTTGCATCTAAGTTACGTTTTTGTCATAAAATGCACATTTAATGTGGTGCCAGAGGATATGCCCCTTCAAGAAGAAGGTTATGACAGTTCACAAATTTGGGAGTTCGGCATCTAATAAGAAAATATTAGCACTTGAGAGGAACGTAGTTCGCAAGTTCAAAAAACTAAAAAGGATAAATGTAGCATTACCTCTATAGTATATCTTGGTGAAAAATGAGTCAACAGAACTGCTTTGTTGCGTATCCACTGTGCATTTGCAATTATCTACATAAATATCATAACTTTACTAATCAGGAATTCCTCAATATATTATGCAGTAGAGTCAATAGTCTTAGAATCAGTCAATCACCAAGAAAAGGTGTGAATTTGTATGAGCAGGTAAAGACTCTAATAAATAACAAGAAGTAGCCATCCATGAAAGGGGACGAAACACGTTACATACCTCAAATAAATGTGTATGACCATGTTGCCGAGCATGATCGATGCTGAATGAATCATCTAGGAAAGTTGCCTATTAAAAGAGTTTCAACAATCAAAACAAAATGATAAATTAAGATAGCAATAAAGAAGTAAGAGCACACCAAATGGGAATGTAACAGCAATTTTTGATAAGTTTTATTCCTAGTTTTTCAAGTAAGCCAAGATCCAACGTCTAAAAGTACTGATGATATGAACTTAGGTGGTCCTGATAATTCTGATACAACGACATAACAAAGAGGACAAACCTTTTGTATACAACAAAAAAATGTTTTCATATTAATATTAATTGATCTTATCGCAGTTAGAGTGTCAGAAAGAATAACAGAGTAAAGAAAAGAACAAAGTCCCACATAAGATTAAATCACAAATTATGATTTATCCCTGACAAGATTTTTTCTTGTAGCCTCTCACCTATTCTCTCATTCTATCAATACTTTTGTATACGCAAGCAAAAATTATATATAAAAAAGAAATTCAATGAGAGAGGAGAGCAAGGCAAGCAGGAAATCCTTGTCTCTTCTCCTCATTCTTCCTTTTTCTGGGACAAGCAAGAAAGAAAGGCTACAAAAGAATATGATAAGAATATGCAAGAAAAAAACATATAGAGAAAGTGACCAGGAAAATCATAACAAAAATACTTAAAAAAAATATAGCCCTGCAATCGTAAGTCGTAAACATGATCATCTTAAAGAACTAGTTAAGGAATAGTTTAATAAAAAAATTTATTTATGAAATAGACTTAAGACTGTTTTTATGCTAAAACTTCTTACATATACATTTTAATACATTGTCCCAAACTTGATTTCTAAACCTCTTTTCTATTCTCTATTTCTAAGGATATCAGATGATCAAACTATCAATTCTCAAAGTCCACTGAACTAGGAGATAAAATAATAGTACCCATTTCATTAAAAGATTGTACTGTACCTCAGTTATGAGAATTTTTGCTCTCAATGCATCAGCATTACATGGGTCAAGCATAAAATCTGATGTTGTATCACCGGTGAAGGCCACCTCAGGAGATAATATGGTGTCTGTAATCTAGAAAGGAGAGTTCATTAAAGGTAAAGATCAAAGAAGATTTAAATCCAAATTGAGTTCCAGATATCACAAACCTCGGCACCTGACTTCTTCAATTTCTCAATTTGTTTCCCATTCAGGTGGGCATACTGTTTCCTTAATTTTTTCCTGATTGAGTAAACTACATAACCCTGCATAAAACAAGTACGTGTGTTCAGCATACAAAATGTGGCGATGGCCAGATGGGAATTCTTAACATAATTTCAATCTGAAATATCAACAAGAAGAAGATAAAAATATGCTAAAGCCAAAACCTGTTAATTTTTGGGCCAAATTCTCTGTTCAACAGTTTTAGTACACAAGGTAACTTCCAACACTTACTAATATACCCTTCAGCTAAAAGAAAATGGCTACAGAATGGCTGGTTGAAAGATACCTGGCTAGGTATAACATGTTGTGTTCTGAATGGGCGAACAACAAGATTATTCCGTATCTCATATGTCTCCCCTGAAATGAAACTTCACATATAAATGCCTTGAGGTTATCTCCTGATCATTAACAAAAGACAAAAGACAAATGACACATACCCACATCCAAAGCAACCACTTCGGCATTCAATTCAACCTGACCCATAGTTCTGTGAATATCAAGCAGCTTCTCAACATCCTCTTTGATGCAAGGAGGCACAAACACAGTGGGAGGTTTCAAATTGAACAAACCACGGCTAGCTACGTACATTGGCAGCCCTCCCTATATCATTCAACATTATCCCAAATTTACAGTTAACATCTAAAGAACACCATACACAGTATGCATAAAACTCACAAACAAATTACAAGGATGGAAAAGAGCATTCACAAATCACAATTAGCATCCACAGGGATCAGTGAAAACCAAAAAGAAAGCCAGTATTAAGTAATTTGTTTCTAGAATGTTTTTGGTTTAACAAAATTCCGTTTTCCAATGTATGTTGAACCCAAATATTATCTCACATCGGATTGGCATTCAATATGACCGAACACTTATTCAAACACAGTCTATATATGCCATCAACATTATCCCGTGCCATCACATATAGGCCTAATTTCTAACAGAAAAAAAGTTATAACACTCTTTGGTTCAAAACATTTTCTATCTTGGTTTTCTGTTTTCACTTTTAGTCTAAAAAATGTCCGTCACTTTCCTAAAGTTTATATATGAAACTGTGAAAATGACTTTTTTATTATTTAATGTTTTCATTATCTCCCCTATAAACTTAAAACAAACAAGAAAAACATAACATTTTTTCAATCCAAACAACCTTCAGGCCATGCTAGTCAAGTATGAACTGCCCTTTCCATCAATAAATGAATTCAATCTACTAAGATAACACAGAGCATATGTAATTTACCTTTTCTCCCATTTTCTACTAATCCAAAATTAAAATCAAAATCATCAACACAATGAACGTTAATGGTGACAAAAGTGGAGAACCTTACAATGTGATCAAGATGAGCATGAGTAATGAAAAGGAAGTTTTGATGAATAGCTCTACTAGGGCACCTCCCAATATCAAAAGTGCACTTGAATTCAGGGATTATGATACATGTCTCTTGGCCTCCAACTGAAAGTCCCTCAATAGAATAACCTTCCAAGTCCAGAACTTTCCGGTTCACCTGTGACCGGGCTATCCGGTACTGCTCTTCGTGATCAAGTTTTTTGCTGATTTCGGACAAATAACCCGACCCTTTCATTACATTGACAGGGCTTTGCGTTGAAACTTGGTGGTGCAGTGGTTTTGGAGGGAAAATAGGGTGGTGGAGTGGGAAGAGTTGTGGGGTCTTGAAGGCCAAATTGCTAAGAGAAATATGCATTTTTGCTTGTGAATTTGAACGGAGAGAGATGGAACGAGAGGGAGTGGAAGGAGGGTTTAATCTGGGTTTTAGAAACGTTGGTGTCTATCTGAATGAACCATGGGGACATTTGTGTCGTGGATTTGGAAGATAAGGTTAACTTTCTAAAACACTGTCGTTTTGACTTTTGGACAAACATTTTTGTTTTCATTTCTTTTAAATGATTCTACTTTCAAAATTTTGACAAAATGTATTATTTTATTTTGTTTGGAGACTAGACAAGGTTTATATAGTTATTTTTCTTTTATTCTGATTATATTCTTTTAAAATTTGTTCAATTGAAAATAATTTAGTGAGAAACCAATATTTACTCTCATGAGATTTTCAAATTTAAGAACCAGATTTTATTTAGGATTTACATGACGCGGCACAACTTCGAGTTGTAAGAACACGCTTTTATTATAAAAATACATTTCAATTAGATAATATTAATATGTATATATATTCAAGTTTTTCAACAAGTGAAAAAGAAAATTAATTTTTTTGTTACGTTATAATAAAATTAAAAATAATTTATATATATCATCTTTTCTTAATTCACTGGAATAAAATAAAAATTTTATAAAAATATGATGGAAAAAAATTCAATTTTTTAAATAACCAATTTTTCAATAGAAATATTATGTAAAAAAAATTCAACTTTTTTAAAATTAATGTAGAAACTTAAAATATTTATGTTACATGATGCATTATGTCAAGAAGACAAAATTAATTATTTTTCATTTAAAAAATACTTAAAATATTTATGTTACATGATGCATTATGTCAAGAAGACAAAATTAATTATTTTTCATTTAAAAAATATTCTTATTTTTTAATCATAATAACAATTAATTTAATAAATAGTATTAAAATAATAATTAATTTATTAATAATGAATTATTTTATTTTTATTTTTAATCTAAACACAGTCTAAAATCCTATTGGTCCATTACAAATTTTAGGGTCTAAGAACTGGTCTCTTCCATCTCAAAACATATTATTCACATGAAATTCTGATATTCCAAAATATCCATTTTAAAATGAAAGGACGTTGACCTAAAAGTTTGAAAGAGTGTAAAAGAAAAAACTTTTTCTTCCAAATATTTAACCTATCCATAAGACTTGAACTTGTATCACTCTTAAATAATTTATCACTAATTAAACTGAAATAAAATTGTACACAGTGCCTTTTGAATAAAATGTGAAGGAATGGTCTCAGGCCCAGTTGGTAAACATTAATTATGTATTCAGTTTAATCTTAATCAAATAATACAATTTTTGTTTACAAGTTATTACTTTTAACTTTAATAAAACATAAAAAAGGTTTCTTAAGCTTTTAATTAACAAAACAAACAAGATTGCATAAGTAGACGTATCAACTTGATTTCTGATATGACATATTTACAAGCCAAGAATATTAGTAATACACACTTTGTCTACTGAATGAAATAGGAGAAATGCTTGTTTAATTCGGTAAATGCTATATCACTGCAAACTGCGAGTCTTGAAGTTGACAAGATTATGTCTGCATTTTGTAAGGTGAAGCCATGAATGATGGGCAAAGGTAGCCCTTTGCTTAGACGTGCATTGGCATACGGCAATAAGACAGTTTCAATAAGCGTCCACACAACTGGCTGCAGTGGGAAATGACATGACAACACACCCTTTATCAATGAGACTTACAAAATTAATTTTTTACTCTCTATTATGCGTCATATAAAACATAAAGGCACCTGAATGAGGTACATCCGCAGGTTGCCAATTTTGCTCCATTTCAATGACATTTGAAAGTCATTCAATCTGATAGCACCAACCAGGTTGTTTCCCCTGATTTTGACCACACCTGTACCTTGAATTACCTGTGTAAACAGAATGTAATATTGCACTAGTGGTCATTCGTTTTAAAGGATCAATATATTACAAAAACAAACAGGATGTTATTTTCAATAACAATCAGTTCCAAAATCACTACTAAATTAAACTGGTAAAATGATTGGTTCTTTAAACTCGGCCTTTCTTGATGCTAGTGTAGGGTATACGAAACCAAAACGTCTATTTGTTACCAAGTAGTCATTGTAGTTGAATCAATACAAAAATTGTTGTTGTTAAAGAAATCATTGATAGCAATCCCTTAAACTGATAACTATTCTTGAGTCTGATATACAGGGCAAACACAAAATAGCTGCAGCCAAACGACTGGACTGGAAGATTGAGTAGCCAGGTTCAAATATAAATGACAGAAATGTAACAAGGCTGCTATGCATTAGCTCCCTTTTATAGAGAAAAAAAATTATAAAAGAGTGTTGCTCAAAGGTGTACAATTAAGCTTGTAGAATAGAAAAATGATGCATCCAATAGGTTTTATTGTATGCTGAACTGCATTTACATCCACACCAGCCCATAGAATTTATCATGAAATAATATTTAGCATGGTGACAAAAAAAATACACAGATAAATTATGACGAAAAATGTAATTAGTTTAATACTAATGTTCTTACCAATGATATGCATGCCACTGGTATTACTTCATCTTCTTCCAAAACATCAATTATCATGTCCGTAAATATGTTGGCACCTGCTTTCTGATTTGAAATCTCCACAACTGGAGGAGAAGATAAAGATATATTCAAGTTCATGTCATGATTTGGGTATTTTTTGTATAGCTGGGGAACTATAAATCTCCATCCTGAAGTGTTCAATAGAGATTGATCTGGTATTTGGTCCACAATCCAGTGCATAAATTTTGCCTGACCAGAGTAGAGCAATTTCTTTGATGCCAATCCAATGATAAAAAAGAATAATATTTTAAGAAATAATTGATTTAATATCATTACCAAAAATCTAAACCTTACATCATAATATAAGGCTGATGCGGAGTTAAAAACAGCCTCATCTAAAGTGATTCCTATCATTTTTGATGAATTTGTGCATAGAATTGGAAGTTTCGAGTTCTTGTGGTAGAGGTCAAGAATAGGTTGGGAAGGATTTCTTTCAATAAATAACCCATTGGTTTCAAATCCAACAGATGAATCACTCAATAAAACATCATTTACAAAAGTTACATTCATAGAAGCGTGGTCATCGACCGGGACCTCCTTTGGAAGACTTTTCAAATATGAGTCAAGTCTTGAAATCCCCTTCGTAAGTTTCTTGGTGATGGCATTTTCAACTGTTGAACCAATTTTCTCTTCAAAAGCATCTACTATACTGTTAGATATCAAGCAAAATGAAAAGTAAAAAAACCATAGAATTATTTTGTGCCAGATAATGGTGACAATGGAATGTGTGAATGATGAAAAACTAAATATGCCGGAAACCTCCAAATAAACAATATTTCATAAAACATTAACTACAACAACATATGGTGTATTTTCATCATACTTTATATAATAACATGTTTGAGCATGGTTTCATCAGGCTAGCTGGAAAAATTTGGAAATTAAAAGAGAAGGAGACGGAGATGGAGATGGAGATGGAGTGGGGAGTAGTAATTAATATAGTAATTAATAGATTGTGGTGCTATGCACAATTTCGTATCCACTAAGTTGTTAGAAGAATTGAAACTCCCCATATGGGCAAAAGATATGATGCAAGGGTGTATGCTATGAAGTCACACTAGAGTCACTAAGTATGCAAATCCACCAAAAAAAAAAATCTATTTGGACTTGTGTGGGTCTGGACTCGTTAGCAGGTTTGGCCTAAAAAAGAGCCATTTTAAAGACTTGACTGTTTTATTAGAGGAGGGAAAACCATGAGTTTTTTGGAGCAACTCTTTATCTGATAGTGCTAGACATTTTACAGGTTAAGGCCAAGCTTCACATTGATCAATAATAGCTAAGTACACTATAAAAGATACTATACTATGAGTTAGCTATTTGACCATGAGGTTTACTCTATCCCTAGTGTTATCTTTGTCCAGTGAGACTACTTGGTAGTTGGTACTACTGCAAACTAGTAGACGGTGTGACTTGTAAGTACTAAAGTATAATCTCATAACAAAAGTGGTTCCTTGTAGCTTATTTAGACGAACTAATAATGTATTAGTGCTGACATTGGAAAACTCATATAAATAGATAATATGGAACGCAGACATTGATAAGCAAAAAGTAAGAGGCTATTTTCTTTAAGAAAATGTTTTCTGTTTTCATTTCTTAATTTCACTCTAATTACAAAATGCCACCACGTTTTCATTTAGTTTTCTGATTTCAAATAGAAAATGAAAATAAAAACTATATATTTTCAGGGTAAACATGCACTAAGGCATCTACGCTTAAAGAATGAAAGAAAAGCAGCTACCAGCATGAGTTCTGTAATGCTACAAAAAATATGTTCCTTTATGAGCTAGAATCTAACATGGATACTTCCATACCCTTGATAAAGCCAAGATGCACCTCCATCCAGTTTTATTGAAATATCTTCAACATTAGACCCACACTCCTTGAGTTTCAGCTTCAATGACCCTTCCTGGTTCTCCAAACCCAATGTAAGTCCTACTTCCATGCCTTTAACCTTTCCACCAGTAGAACTAATCAAATTCCTTTCTGATTACAGCCGTGAAGAACAGATAGAAACAGAAATAATAGTACAAAAAACAGATATCATTTTAAGCCCGCAAATAATTACTGACAACACATTTTTGCGACTTCAAAAAACATAACTGCGCACACAAACAAATGAATTTAATTTTCAGGCATTTAATTGTCAACTAATCAGAAACCATCTTAGACATAACTTTTAACTAACAGGACAATCTATAATTTGATGACAGTAAATAAAAACTTTTAAATCGCATTCCAATCAAAATCTCTCTCTATATATATAAGTTATAAACAAAACAAAGGATCAATTTCTCACCTGAACTTCTGCTCTACCTCTGTCAGAGATCTCAACAGGCACAAGCCATGTGCTATAAGAGTAATACCAATTCATGTTCAAATTACAAGTAACCCCAGAAGCTATAATGGAAATTCCAGTCTCCCCTGGCTTGATATGCGAGGAAGGAACATCGATATGATAAATTGTGATGTTGGAGAGCACCATGTAGACGTTACCCACAACTGGGATTTTCGCAGTCTTTTCAATATTCGGCAATTGAAGTGAGATGAGTGAGGAAATGGCCTTGTTCACCAGCAACTCCTTCACAAAGTCAAGGCCATTTTGGGTAATCGACAGCGATATAAAAGCTTCGTTTTTGGGATAAAATTGAGCATACCCATGGTTCAAGGAAGAGGCTATTAGAAACAGAACAAAGAAAGGTGCCATTTTGATTTATGATTTTCGAAAATTGGAGTTGATCATCTGTTGCAAAGACAAAGATAACATAGGGAAAGTCGTACAAATGTAGAAATCTTTCCTAGGACTGAGAAACACTTGTGGCGGACCTGAAAAGTCCAATTTGCCCATTCTGATTTGTAGTTCATCAAATTGAAAAACAATTAATCGCCGACTAATTCTAAAACATTTTCTCTTCTGGTATCATCTATGTGTCCAGTCGAAAAAAAATCTGCAGAAAATGATTCTGTCCAAAATAGTATAGAATTATTCTTTAAAGTATTTAATGTATTTGTATGTTTAAGAATTAAATAATTTATTAGTTAAACTAAAATAATTTTATGATAATTTGATTCTCAAGGTTCAAAATTATAATATTTTTTAATGACATTACTTTTGTACCAATATTGTATTCCAGAAGAAATCACACATGAATAACGGTCAAACACAGCTATCGTATTTAGATTGCGTGCCTTGCAAAAGAGTTACCACTTGAAATTAAGTTGATTAACCACAAATGGTGAAAAATACGTAATTTCAGATAATATTTGGGAATAAGGTTTTCAAAGAAAAGAGAGAGAAAAAAATTAAGTTCCAGGAATATATATCACTTAACCTGTCTACATCCTCTATCAACATTAATTGAACTCTATGGAGTATATAATGTCATTATCATCATTTAAATTATGATCGTTACTTTTTTTATTATTCTTTTAAACATTGATTAGTCTTCCCAAATCAAATTATTTTTTTATATGTTTAGTCTTAAAAAAATATTTTATTTTATTTTTTATTTTATTTGAACGAATTATAACTACTATAAAGAGATCTCCTTACACTAAAAATAAGAATTAAAATTTATTTTTAATTTTATTATTCATATTTTTTGACCATCTAATAATTTAAAATAATCATTAGATAGTCTAAAAATGATTTTTTTGTGAGATGAAAACTGTATAATACTTATTTTCTAAATAAAAAAATCCCTTCTCCACACACACACACACACACACACACACACACATATATATATATATATATATATATATATATATATATATATATATATATATATATATATATACTATAAATTAGTATTTTGTTTATATATTATGTATGATCACTTTTTTTATTATATAATTAAAATATTAAATAAATATTTTTAAAGGAAAAATTTTATCATCATTAAATTTTATAACAAAGAACTTTGATTAAATATAAAATATATTTCACAAGTACTTTTTATTTTTAATTATTGTCAATTTTTTTAAAAGCTTTTGAAATTTCAGTCTCTTTTGAACTAGTCCTTATCAAGCCCATATTTATATATGGGCCTAGCTAGTGAGTTCTTTGCACTTGCTTTACAAAGTGATTTTTAAAATTAGGTTTTCTCGATAATTAAAGAAAGCGTAAACAAATATTGAAATTATGTGGAAATATAAACAAAGAAAGATTATATATATATATATATATATATATATATATATATATATATATATATATATATATATATATATATATATATATACAATGTAGCATAATAAATTATTTAAAACTAATTATTCATTAAAATATTTAATGCGCCGTACACTTTTGCCACTTGTGGGGAATGATGAAGACTTTTATTTGGAGGGGTTTTAAACCTAATCTTATACTTAAGATATTCAACATCTTTCTATTAAACCAACGCAAATTGGTTTTTTATGAAACAATACAAAAAGTTGAATTTTAATATTGAGCATTTTCATGTCAGTTTTTTTTTTTTTTAAATAAAGAAAAAGCTAGGGCCCCACAACTAGCTGTGATTGTACTGATTTTACTGCTAAATAATGGATGAAATTTTGGAAACCAAATGATGTATCAGAACAACCCTCTCAATTCTGCAGTTGGCATTATGTACAATGTAAACATAAGATTATGGAATCAAGAATCTACATGAGAATCCAACCAATACATCTGAATATAGTGCCAGACACATGATTAGAGTTTATTTTATTACAAGTTATACATTAGAAGCTTTGGTAATTTCTGCCTTGCTTCCCATTTGCTTTTGTTTTTGCTTAATATCCTTGCTACCATTGCTCCAACCATCTCTCTTGCTTACCTGTGGGAGCGTTAGAAATCTATATTTAGAAGATGGTAAGATACATAAGCAACATTCTCATGCATTCTTATCATATCTTCGTGATCATGATATTATATTTTAAAAAAATAGTAAATCATTATTTTGGTTCTTATAATAAATGTATAAATATTTCAGTTGATTCATCTAAATCTGTAAACTTTGTTGTTTAGTGTCATTCTTATCTTTAAATATATGTTATTATTATCCTTTACATCACATTTTTTTTTTTGTAATTTCAGATTAATGTGATTGATGAATTGTATTTTTAGATTAATATAAGGAAGAAATAAAATGGTAGTTTATTCATTTAAAAGTCTTGGAGACATAATCATGAATTGGTTATGCTTGGCTTTAATGGCATGTGAACTAATGAAAAGATTCTGACCTTTGGCTGCTGCTCTTCATGGAATTGATTACTTGGCACTGTTTTTCGCCTTGAAACAGTTCTCCTAACCTTGAAGTTGGTCTTTGCTGCGTGTGGTTTGAAGCTAACTTTTTCTTCTTCTGAATTGATTGAATAGTGATCAAAATGAAGGGGCACTTCATTTGATCCGCAGCTCTCCAGTTCTTCCCCAGTAGCATCTAAAAATCTTGTCATGATTGTGCATTTGTGCTTACTGTTAGAAGGGTCATACTGCTTCAAGGCATGGCTTTCAACTGATGAGGTCTCTGGAAGGCGTGTTGCCATCCATCTCTCAAGCCAGCTCCAACTCATATTTGACTCCATGCTACTGTGTTTTGTTAATTTTCTCTTTGAACAGATTCTTAGCTGCAACAACCAGGATCAGTGTTTTGTTGTCAGCCATGTTTATCCTTTCTCTAGATTTCATTTTATGTATTGCCAATGTAGTAAGAAATCTCTGATTGTACGACTTTTGAGATAATTATTGTAAGTCAACAAATTTATAATTCATTGTTGTTTGTAATTGAATGATAATGTAAAATACACTAGTGCATGTGCAATTTAGTCTTTAGTTTACCTGTTGTGAGAAAGCATAAGCCAGTGCTCTTTCTCTTCTGGTTGATGCCTCCATTCTACTCTGCATCCTCATTTTTGAAACATAACTACTTACGGTGCTGTCATCCCAGTCTTCCTGAAAATGTCTAATGTTATTTTGCAGCTTGACAGAATTTTGATTGATTGCACGTAAAGTTCAGACTCTTAGAAATGCTCCAACTTTGTCTGCTATGTGTAAAATTAGCAAACCTTACTTTCTTTAGTTGTGACTTTATATTACAAACAAGAAAATCTACCTTCGGGGGAAATTAGAATGATCAATTAAGGTGTATCCTGATATATTTGACATTCGGTTATATTCGAGAATGCAAACTAAATAGGAAAAAAGTGATCAAGTGGAAGATTAAATTTCGAAGTCAACAACACATTCAGGTCTTAAAAGGCTTGGGGTGGTAGTACCATTTGAGCCATCATGTTACTTGGCCTAGATTCTAGACTCATTTTTAATAAAGATCAAATTAACACAAAAGGATGATTTATCATGTTAACATGTGATCTTCTTTATAACCTTTTGTCACTCTTCTAGTTTTTATTTTTCTTTTCTTTTTCTGTAAAAGAATAAAATGATATAATATTATATTAGCCATTCTTTGGGTTAGTCATCTGCAGTTTAAAATATATGTGAAGATGTCTTAAAATGTTAATTCTATCGATTTTTTTGTCCTTTTCTTCTGAATTCATTCTCTTGAGCATCTTAACTTTTATTTTCTCTTTTAACCAAAACCAGGGGGGCTAGTTCACATCATTAGCTTCTGTTATACCTTTTGCTTTGTTACTTGAGTTCTGGTCCTGCGTTGAATACGGTGGCAAATACCCTTTTTTCCTCCTTCTGCCGAGAAAACTTCAGCGGAGTTCGCAGTTTGGACTTCAACTGATGTGCCCATGGACTTTCTGTCAGGACTTTCTGTCACTAAATGGAACTCATCTTTTCCTGTTTCTGCTCTGATTTCTTCATTTTGACGCCTCAACTGTAATGTGCAGCATATTAGTGATGTTAACAAGCGAGATTATATGCTATGATTCAAACTATGAATCATGTAACCATTGGCATTTTTTTCATTAAAAAATTAAAAAGGGTTGAGTGATGAAATGGAAGAAATTAACAAATGTGAAGGGTGAATATGACATTGTTAGATAAATGATCATTTTAGTTTTCCTCCATTCTCTCTTCAATGTTGCAATTTTCACTCATCCCATGCACACCTAGGACTTTGCACAAACAACTTTTAAGAATATTTCCTTCACTTGAATACAATTTTTGCAAAGGCTAAGATATTCTTTATGTGAATAAGAAAATTGATGTAATTAAAATTTAGTGAGCTTACCAGGAAGCCTCTATATGCTGATTGAATAAGAATTGCTGCTTCTTCCTCACTCAACGATTTGGAGTCCGAATGTGGCCTTTCCTGTGTTACATTCTCCACAGTTTCTTCACTATCGGTTCCTTCTTCATCATTCATGTCTTCCAATATGGACTGTGAAACCGTGACTTCAGTGCTCTTAACTGAAGCTGAATCATTCTCGGCAAGGACTGAATTGAATTCATCGCCACACAAGTATGATCTAACAGATAACCATCTCCTATTTTCAGCACTATTGCGTCTCACCTGTTGGCACGTCATAATTCAAAGCTGGTTAATGAAATATTCAATGACACTAAGGCCAATGAATGAGAACATTATTGGAATTTAAATTGAGCTAAGAGAATTGAATTATTTTTTTCTATTATACATACAAGATAATAAAGTAGTGTATAGAGAAGAAAGAAAACATGGAGCTTGATATACTCACTTTGGTTTCATGCGACCCATCGGAACGATTTTTGGAGAAGACAGTTCTTACCAACTCCCCAGTGAACCCCATTTCAGTTTTCTAATTGCACAAGTGAAATGTCCTCTAATATATTAATATGCCAATGCATAAAGGTGGAGTATGCTACATTATTAGGATTGGATAAAGTATTATAAGGAAAGTGACACATTGTTACTTGATCAACAATATTAGACATTAAATATGAATAAAGTTGGTTTATTTTAAAGGTTACACGAAACTGCTAGCTTTATATGTAGGGAGAGACCACATGTTAACTAGAAATAGCTTGATCATGATGATCTGTGTGCAGGGATTGCAGAGCTGTAAGGGTACCTATAAATCAGAAAATAATGGAAGGTGGAAAAGTAAAAGAAGGATAAAAGGGGATGGACTTGAGTGCATGTTTTTATTGCTTTTGTATATACTTTTGGCACATGGCTTGCAGATGATAGGCTTTTATAAAGCTTACTTGTTACTGGGGTAATGTCTATTATTCCTTTCTGGTTACTGCTTCTTCTGTCCTTAGGGTGCTGTTTTTTTTTTTTTTTTGTTACTTTAGTTTGATGCCAGTGGCTTTGGGGACAGGTAAGGATGCCTAGAATTTTTTTTCCATGGATTCTTCACTGTCAATTTTGTAGTGCTTTCGCAGGTGTTCTGTGTTTTTTTGTTTTGGATGAACTCATGAAATGGCAAAGGTGCAACATGTGAAATGCTAGTAAGTGATAACTCCTAAGGCATCATTCACCACTCAATTTTTTCATGCGGGGTGCTTTCTGAGGAAGTTGATGAAAATCCTAAGACGTAATTTTCTTTTAATTATGTTAAATATGTCAAAAAATTTGACTAATTATCTTTGATAAAATATCTTTTTTCAATCAAAATGTATTTTATTATGAAATTGAGTATAGATTTAAAAATCTGCATAATTGAAACCACCAACTAATGTTTGTGTAAGACTTCATGTTTGATTGGATGGAGTGAATTGAATAAGGAATATAAAAAGAAGAAGAAAAATGTTGTCTTTAGTGAAAATCCAGGGAAGTTAAAGAGTACCCATCAGATAGATGTGCATGGAAATTAGGGAATCAGGGATTGCTGAATTAAAACGAAAACCCTGCTTTCCCTTCCTTCACTCTACCAAAAATAGAGGATTGGTTTATTTGGGGAAGCTTTTGGAAAAGACCGACAAGTGTTAGTTTTTTTTTTTTTTTTCTTTATAAAATATTATTATATAAATTACATATTATTCGATTTAGATTAAATATAATTGTTCTAATTTTTTAATAACTTAATTAGATAAACATATTTATATCTTATAAGCAGATTATATATTTTTTATTTGTTTAATAGTTGCATTTTTAGAATAATTTTTTTTTATATTTCTATTATATAAATATATTGATTATTAGGATAGGTAAAATTTAAAAACTATTTTTTTAAAACATTAACATATTTTTAATTCATATATGTAAAAATAATGAAACTACTATATTATAACTGACTTGAAGTGTGGTGAGGCTAAAACAAAAATGGAAAATTGTAACGAGACAAAATTAGGATGGAAGTGGTAGAATTGAGATGCAAGACTCAAATTCAGCCACTCCATTTCTTTGGTGTTCCAAGCTTCCAAGACGCAAGTAAGGTGACCCCTTCTATACTTTGTAGGACTAAAAAAAGTTGAAGAACACAAAGTACTTATTTTGTGGTAAATAATTGATAATTTATTGACACGTGTTGGAAATGATTATTTCTGAACACATCCATGTGGACAACACATTGGTGACCCGTAGCAAAACGTTGCGCTATTCCATTTGGAAAGGGATGTGATTGGAATTAGTATTAGTATATTTAAATATTTCAACTCATAAAATATAAAAGTGGCGATGAAGAAGATGAAGATTAAGATGAACATGTGCATCCCACTAAAGAGCGTAGACTTTGTAGCTTTTCTCCTTTTTTTCAAGAACCACCGTCACGTAACACAAATTCATATACATAAAATTTCTTTGGTTGTCAATTGAAATGACACTCCCGCACCAAGAGTTTTTTTGTTTTTTTTTTCTTCTAGTATAGGCCCGAACAAAAACAGATCCATAGAAAAAACAAAGGGGAGAATAACAAAACCATTTATTTAGCATCATTGTGCACCTAAATATATTGAAAAAAGTCCTGGATAAGACCCTCAAACTCTCCTAGTCCAGAGTATTTGAATTTTGTTTGATGCCTCTTATATGGTTTAGATGCTCTTATAATCTTCTTCGTCTTATTAAAGTGGTGGTTTGAGGTTGAGGAAGGTTCTTGAAATGCTAACTCATGAATTGTCATTATTTTATCATATCAGCAATAGACATCAAATGTTATAGGATCTTGAAATCTCTTAAAAAAAACTAGTCACACAACATACTTTTTGATAGAAGATTATACATCGGGTCCATATATCATTAGAAAAGACCACAGAATAATTAAATTATACATAAATTACATTTGAAATCCACAATAAACAAAAATAAGATTCTTAACCAAAACAGGTCACAAATATCTAGTTTTTTAAAAATATTTAAGCATGGAATTTTATTTTTAAAGAATAATATTCATAATATAATATTTTCTCCGCTCATATGTTTTAAAAGATAAATAATAATATACACCACTTATCCTATAAAAAAAAGTGTCAAAGATAGTACCATTCAATAAACATCCTTAAACATTCCTCCGATACAAAGTAGATGGAGCCAAGGAGAGAAAATATTAAAAAATAATATTTTTTCATATATTTTAAATAAAATAATTAATTATATTTATATGTTTGAATTAACTATTTAATAAAATTCCCCTCGACTTCCACCAAATATTTTTGGAAGGAAATAAAAAGTTTTTTATTCTTTTATTATATATATATACATATAAAGTTAAAACTGCTAAGTTTTGATGAACAGAGTCAAAGTCTTGCAGAAAAATGGGGTATTTACATGGTGATATTAATTGATAGTTGCAACTTGCATATGCTTATAACGTGTATGTGATAGTCAAATCGTTCATAAACTATTTTTTCATCTTTAATTTTGCAGTTTTGAGTAGTGTTTTTATTTATACTGTGCATCACAAAAATGTTAGATTTTACTATTTCATGTAAATTGATTAAATTTTTCATTACTAATATGATGCTAGATATCAGAAAAAAGTTATTATTTAAATTAAATTGAATTAATATATTTTTTTAACCGTTTAATATTAGATTTACGATGAAGTAATTCATAGAATTATACGAGATTTTATTTTGTAAAATAATAATTATATTTTTAAATTATTATATTATTAAAAAAATTTGTACCTAATATTTAACGTTTAGTTTTTATACTAATAATTTATGTCTACCTTACATAACATTTATGTGAATTTTATCTATAGTTTTTAAAACTGTTATTGGAATGGCATAAAAGCTATTTAAAAATAATTTTTTTATTATGAATTGTATATATTAATTGTTTAAAATTTAAAAAATATATTTAAGATTAGAAGAAAATTGTTTATATAAGTGAGTTTAATTAATTTTTAAAAAATTCATACAACAATTTTATAATAATATTTATTTTTATTTTTAATTCTTATTAATTATTCTCTTTAATTTTTCGAATCTAATTCACTTAATTATTTTGTGATGATTTGTAGAAATTTTATGTTAAAAGATATAATGGATCTTATAATGTTTATGACAAATAATACAGAGATAAAATGATTAATTAAAATTTATTTCATTTAAAAATTTTATAATCATTAAAAAGATATTTATGTTATATTCATGATTAATAAATCTAGGTATATGTAGATTTATAGACTTAAAAGCAATGTTTCATATCTACTTCAAGAGAAGATTGAAGATAGGTTTAGGAGGGAAATTAGATTACGTTTTAATTAAGTTATGGATGAATTGTGTTAGACTAAAAATAGGTAGTACTAATACTATTTAGAAGCACTGTTAATTATTGCTGATTAAGAAGTTGAGAAAACTTGAACTAATTCATCAACTCGATAACCTAATTATACCAATTAAATTATAATAAAATAATATTAAATAAACATAATATCATAAAATCTCTAAATTTTTGTAATCCCGGAACATAAATTATTATTATCACTTAAGCCTTCGAATTACAAAATAAAAACAATAATTTCAATGAATTAAATGTAATCGAATTTTTAAATACTTTTTGTTTATTTCAGAAACTAAAATAACAATGAAAAATAATTTCAGTGTGCCATTTTTTTCCAAATTCTCTTCCAGTTCCCTAAACGCCCACTTTGACGTCGGCCTGTCCCAGTTTTTCGGTGGCGCGGACTATTTTGGGCCTCAGGAATTGAAAGGAGCCCACTTAAGAGCTATTACTCTCACCCGCTTTTACTAAGTACAACCCATATTTTTAATGATTTTTATTGCAAAAATTTGTCTATCACATCACATCTTGTTCAAATACATGTTGGAAGTTGTGATACAAATTCAATTTTTATTTTTATAAAAAATACATAAAAACATTGTTAGGATAGATATCGTTGTGGTATCCCATTTTAATATCTACAATGAAGCAAGTTTATATGACATTAAGAGCTTCTAGGAATAAGTTTTGTATGTATATTTTTTTTAAGAGGGAAAGAACATTTCACGGTATATTTTCACAACATAACAAAAATACGTTTTAGGTGTGTATCTAAAAAAAGTTATCAATGAAAATATATTCTTATATACTAACAAAACTTGTTTTGAGAAAATTGTTACTCTAATCAATTTGAGTTCAATCCATTTGTGAAAAATGGGTTGAGAAAAAAAAAATGAAGAAAATTCTGGTATGGACTTCAGCAATATACAACTAAATCCCACCGCTGACCAACCGTAATAATTCCATGGATGTTACACGAATATTTTCACGAAGTCAAAAACAGGACAGGGTGTTTCTCACGTTGATTTTGGGTTCCCAAATGTTGTAACATTATTTTCGGATATCTAAACCATGCAAGGATATTTTGGTTTAACCCCCTGTGGTGGAATTTAGAGGATAGAGCAATTATTGGGGTATGGATCATAATCCACTACATATAATGGACAAGGTGGAGGAGGAAAGTTTGAACAACAATAAGCTATTGGAAAACTTTCCACTGCAGTTGTTTCATCTTTCTGTTCTCCTTCAGCATCACCACTCTCTTGATCCTTGGAACCGTTTTCATCTGTCACACTTACAGGGTTGCATAGTTGAACTTCTTCCTAAACTTATTAGTCAAGCAAACAGAATAATTCCATCTCCAGTCACCACCAATTGGTCTCTGCTTCCACCCTCTAATGCCACTGAACTCACACCTGTATGCATGATTTGTCATTCAAATCACAAACAATTATGAACCCTATTGTTGACTTTTTACAATAATCATCTTAAAAATCGTACTCATAATAACATAAAACTCTTTTTATACAGTCAGAGTTAAACTCTAAATTAATATACACCCCTTCTAGATTTCAAATTGATATTTGAAGTTACTAATAATAAAGGGAGAATGCAATTGAAAAGTGGCATGCATGCACCTTGAGCGGCTGCAGCAATTTTCAGTGCCTTGCTTCTGCATTTGTCATTCTCTGTGCACTTGGATAACTATTATCTGCAGAATTTAAACAGTAAAGCAAAGAACTTAATATTTATTGAACCAAATTGAATTTAATACAGACCATTGATTGTAATTAATTACTAATCAATACAAGTAATCTCACCTTCATGTTTGATAACTGAAAACAGGAGACAGCTTTAGCTTTAAGTTCGGGAAGAAGAAGTATGAAAGAAAACGTAACGTATCACTGTATATATATATATATATATATATGTCCGATTGTGAAATGTATCACTAATCAATCTTAAAGCAATGAGATCTTCTAAATAAAGAAGAGAACCCACATCATTTGGCACTGATAGTATAGAAAATCTTTTTATTCAATTACATATTTTTATGTAATCTAAGCTTGTTAATTTTTTTAATATAATTTTCTTTACTAGCAAACTTAATATATTCCAGATCAGTTAATAACATAATTTTTTTTTCGGTACTGATACAGGATGGAAATTAATCTGTTATAAATATTTTGTCTGAATTATTTATTATAATGGTAGACTTCTTGCGCACCATGCCATGGAAACTAGTTGGTTTCTATATTTTCTTCCATTTTACACTTGTGATGATGGCATGTTAGGTGACATTTAATGTTAAAATATTGTGTTTGGTTAGTGAGAAGAATATAAAACGGAACGCGGACTCTCTTTGAAAGACTTGAGCCCCACATTTAAATTCTATTTGATTTTGTTTGTTGAAGTATATTACATATAAGTCTGAATTCTGTGGTAAATAGCATATTCCTAGTCAATCAATGGAAATTTCTAAATAATAAAAAAATTGGGTAGAAGGCAACAATGATGTTTGTTAAGCTATTAGTATTACCAAAACCAGGTTTGATATCACTTTTCTTGATGGTGCTTTCTTTTCTTTTAAAAAAGTTGGTCAACATCGTCTAAGAATTTGAGTGAAGCAAAATTTTAGGGGAAGAAAGGAAATTTAGATCCTCATTACGTTACCATAGCCAAAGTCCCGTCTGTAAAACAAACAAGAGAAAAAAAAAATGATAAATTGGCCATATGGTACGAGAAAAACTAGTGTATTTTTTTTTAAGACTATCTTTATGACTAATTAAAATTTTAAAAACTATCAATTGAAATGGGTGTTACTTAGTATATATAGTAATAATAGTAAAATAAAATGTTTTATAATATCATAATAACATAACATGTCATAAATATATTATATAATATTGTTGTAAGCAGGCTATTATTACGTAGGAAGAGAAATATAGTGACATTTTTCTTATACTTTTTAATATTATCTTTTTTATTATTTAAAAGTGTAGAAACTCATTTTTTTAATATTTTTTTCATTACAAATTGAGGCGTATTAAAACTATAACATTTTTATAATAAACTTTATTCTCTTGTAGAGAGAATCTTTAACATAGTATTCCTCGTATCTGATAATATATTATTAGACAATATTATTACGTAGGAGAGAAATATAGTGACATTTTTCTTATACTTTTTAATATTATCTTTTTTATTATTTAAAAGTGTAGAAACTCATTTTTTTAATATTTTTTCATTACAAATTGAGGCGTATTAAAACTATAACATTTTATAATAAACTTTATTCTCTTATAGAGAGAATCTTTAACATAGTATTCCTCGTATCTGATAATATATTATTAGACAATTTTGTTTATGATCGAAAATCTTCTAATCAATCATTTTTAGTATATGTCAATATTGCTCGTAGAAAATCAAACGATGGATTGGAAATGTTGAGTGGAAAGACTACTGGAGAGACAGTGACACGTATTGGAAAAGAAAAAAAATTCAATATATGACTAAATACTATTTATTCCTTATGACTTTTACCATTTAGTCTTCTTAGTTTTTATATTGTTTGGTTACTAGAAGGTGGAAAGAATGGAATGAAAATTTGTTGGTTTCGAATATGAGATTAAGTGGGTATTTAAGGCTTTGATTATCCTAAATTCTTAAGCTGTGAGTTTAAGTAAGAGTAAACTTTCTGTTTTTCATTTTCTTTAATTTATTTTTCCATGAGTTTTGATTCTATTCCACTTATTTTATTTTATGGTTAAATAATTTTGTTATTCCACTTTTTCTTTTCAATTTAATCTCATTTTTATTTTTAAAATTAATTTGATTTTAATTTTTTTAAATAAATCAATTTAGTCCGTTAAATTATCTAACAAAAATAAAATATAAATATTATGTACCACTTAAGCACACTTATTCATATCTCAACCATCCAATACTTTTTTAAATAGATAACTTAATGAAAAATACCACCTTAATTCACTAAAAAAAATAGACCAAATTAATAATAAAAATAATAATACCATGAAACTGAAAAAAAAAGTGATCGCTTATTAGGTCAGTTCCACTAACGTGTACTGACGGCGGTTTAAGATCCGTAGTGGATAATTTTTTTCTCCGGGGTATTAGTGTATTCTTAATTACACATGTTTATTGTATAATTATGATTAACAGATTTAAATATATAAAATTAAAAAATAAAATAATTTTTTTAGATATTTAATAATAATTTTAATAAAAATCAATATATATATATATATATATATATATATATATATATATATATATATTTTGTAGTTGCTAGGGAATATGGTCTTCGGCATGTTTTGAAACGTATTTTCCAATATATATACGACAAAAATATTTCAATCTTTGTCTTTGCTTTGATTTTGTTTTGAATCTGGTCTTAGTTTTCAGGATTTAAAAACAGTAACATTCGTGCCTCGTAATTTTTTAAAAATGTGATATTAATTTTAATATAATAATATATAACAGGACGAATAATTGATGTAAGACACAAACAATTGTCACGTGTATTTTATGAAGCTTTAGCATGGTATTATACCTCAATTTTTTTTTCTCCAAATCCAATACTTTTTCTTCAAATGTAAAAATTATTTTATTTATCTTTAAAATATATATATATATATATATATTTAAATATGTGTGGAGGTCAAAATAATTTCTATAACTTATTTTTTTTAAAATAAAACATATGAATAAGAGTTTCAAAGCAAATAACATTAACCAGAGAAATTAACTCTAATTATGTTATTATTATGGACATGAAAATAAAATATATTCAATTTTAGATGAAATATTTATCTCCATGTGAGATAAAAATAGAGTAACAATCGAATAAAAAAAAAAATATATATATATATATATATTAAAGCATTTTTTATGGATGAAAGCCTTTTCCATACCATCGCAAGAAGAAAAGCATGAGAGGTAATTAATAGCTCAGAGGATGGAGCAGTTGTTAGGGTAGGGATCATAATAAACTACTTGACGGTACATGGAAGAAGGTGGAAGAGAGGTGGTGCATATTGGACAAGATGGAATATAGATTTCATTTGGCATGGCTTCTTCTTGTTGTTCTTCTTCGCCACCCTCATCTCCTCCGTTATCCACATTTTCCACACTTATCAGCGTAGCATAGCGAAACTTCTTTCTTATCTGATTGGTTAAGCAAACAGCATCCACTTCCTCTCCAGTTACCACAACTTCATCACTTTCGCCATCTAACGCTAATGATCTTACACCTGCATGTTTCATACGGCGATCACAATATTTAAGTTGCTAAAAAGGGATGATGGAAATGGAACTTATTGAAGATGGCAGATGCACCTTGACAGAGAGCGGCAATTTTCAGAGCCTTCCTTCTGCATTTGTCACTCGCCACGGGCACCTTTATAACTATTTTCTGCTTCATGCATGCAAGTATATAAATATAGATCGAATTATTCAAATGATATTTATTAATTATTGCAAGAGATATCACCTTCATCTTTGATAATGAAGCAGAAGGCTGCTTTAGCTTTATGCTGTTGAAGCAAGATTCGCGGGTGACCAAATATGTTTCTATGCTTTGCGAGGACAACGCAAGTTCAATTTATATATATAGGAAAATAATGTATTGATAGCTACATTCTTTTTGCATTAAATTATAAAATGGTTACTTAATGGGGGATCTAACGCCCTAAATTAAAATTAGTTAATGAAGACAATTTTTTCGAATTGGATTTGTACACTCTCAACTGTGTATAAGTAGCAATAAATGGGTTTAAATATATAATATTAGGAAAAAAATTAAATAAATAATAATAATTTTAATTAAATTAGGAGATACACCCGTACAATATGAAGTATATGTATATATATATGTATATATATATATATATATATATATATATATATATATATATATATATATATATATATATATATAGTTCCGTCACTAGTTTATATTATCATCAACCACTAAATACTCAAATCAAACTTAATTAAATGCTGTTAACTTTTTTTAATTATAAAATTTAACTATATGATATATAAATAATAATTGACTATAAATAAATAATAAAGGATGATTACATGCAATTTCTTCATCATTAACAATTATACACTTAAAAAGAAAAAAACACAGAAAATTGAAAATAGAAAAACATCGATATAACAAAATTAAGTGGAAATTCAGAGAGAAATTATGGATGTGAAGTGGAGTCCAAATGTAATTATTCCACACGTCTACAGATAGTTTATATCACATTACGTAGACGGGGGATATTTTTTTCTTTTACATTTTTTGTAACCCTTCACCCCAGACCCGTAAAAAAGGAAAATATTAGAAAGAAAAATAAAAAACGGTTTTACTTAGTCATTGTAATAAAAATCATCACATAATTAATAAATCTGTTAATTTTTACAATAATTATTTTAAAAATATTGTTACTGTAAATTACGATTAAATAAACGGGTAAAAGACATGATCATTAAATTCTATAAATAAAAATTGAAAATTAATTGAAAGAGAAATTGCCTAGTAATTTCGTAATAGACTAATAATAGTTGGTAATTGCATGGTAGTCTAGTTTGTTGCAATCGCAATCCTGTATGCATTATTGAAGCGCGTGGAAGAGTCAAGTCTTCGTGGGCCATATATTTTGCATAATTAATTTGGTAGTAATTAATCGATTTATGTATATATCAAGAGTTTAAGTATAATTATTTTTTCAAGTTTTCATGTCAAATTTTAGATTTACAATTGTAAACAAGTTAAAATAATCATAACACATAATGTTTTTGGTGAAAATTTGATCGATTTCGATTAAATCGAGACTTAGGTTCTAACCAAATTTTAACCACGTAGATTTTTTTTATTTAGGCTAGTAAACGGTTTTCAATCGAAAAATACATGAGAATCGAGAATCTCTTAATGTAGGACGGCATGACCTAAAGTACATGTTTTTATGTTTTTCTTAAGAAATGCGAAGTAAAGAAAGCGTCGAATCGAAATAACAATGTGGAATATTAAATTGTAGGGAAATGTAAAAATACGGAAACCTCAAATTTTCATTGAATGTAAATGGCAAGAAATCGAAAATGCGGAAATATAACTAACAGAAAATCGAAATTGCAAAAATGTAAATGACACGGATTTTAAACGTATAACCTTAACTTGCATAAAAATAAATGACAAGGAATCGAAAATGCATAAACTTAAAGTTGCTAAATGTAAACTGCATCAAAGTAAATTACATAAACATAAATTACCAGGGAAAGTAGAGAAAGCGGTAAAGATAATCAATGAAAACAGAAATCCAGAGCATTAGAAACTTCATGATGCGTCGTTCTCCTGTAGACTGTTCACTTGCGCTTCTGTCGTCTCTGCCAATTTCCCCTTCTTCTTCATGCTTCATTCTATTTATAGGGCGCCCTTCAGATAACCTCATAAGAGCAGTTAACAAAACTGCCACCACGACCCATCACGATTTCTCTTAGTGTTACGGTTTAAAAACTGCCTCCCATGTTCTCATGCAAGGGATAACTGCCTCTTTGATCTTCGTCATCCTTAGTCTAGAAATAGCTTCCTATGTTCTATGTGCGTGTTACCGTTCCCTCAATCTCGATTTCAAAATTTCGAGAACTTTGCATTGCTTTTTTGATTCCCCTTAACCTTAACATTACATGATTCTAATTCCTCAATTTTCTTCAACAATAGACATTAAATATTCCTCCTTCGATTTTTCGATTCTAATTCTCGATTTATGTGTCCATACTGGTACATGGTCATCGAATGTTTTCCAACCATCTTTTCACTTCATCAGTTTTTTAAACTAATCATATGATCCTCGATTTTTTCCTTCCTTCGTTTTTCAATCCCTTTATCGATTTCCTACTAACAAAATGCCCCCTTGAAAGAATATAAATATTAATTTTTTATTTTATATTCTTACAAAATGATTCCCGCCTTCAAACGTTTTGGAGGCCCAAAATAACTTTTAGGGTTTAGGGTTTCTGGGGTTTTTCTAGGGTTTCTTTGCTTTATGTCACATATCAAATCACTCGTTGTCACACTGCACACGCCACATTAATTACCCTTCGTCTCCGTCGCTTCCAATACCTTAGTTGGTTTCTTTTAAACGTTTGTTAATCTTTTTACCCTTGTTTTTTACCACGAACTCAACTCACTTCTCCTTTGCACCTTCGTCTTCTACCTTTCGTCTTCATCTGTTCTACTGACTGTAATGGCGACCTCATCCAAATCCTCTGATTTCTCCGCCCCACCACTTCCCTTGGTGACCTCTAACCTGCTAGAGATTAATGGACAGAAATTTGCTCCAGTCCCTCTGATGGAAGAGGCTTCTCAAAAGATTGCTGAGACACAGGTACTCATTCCTTACATTGCTGATAATGTAAATTACGCTTTTGGAGGTCCTATCCGCTACTGTGGCGGATCATTTTCCTCTTCCCTCAAATCTTTCTTCAGAGAGCAAGGCTCTTATCCACCAATCTGAGGTTCGAGTTGATTTCTTGAATATTGTATCCAAAGTATACCGAACGGGCCCCCTCCACAAAAAACCTTTGTATATTAGGTGGTTCGATCGAGTAAAAACCAAGTTTGGGAACCATTGGAGAGATGTGGGGATCTTCGATTTCCTGCATCTGTCTCGATGTGATTTATCTTTTTTAGATATGAATATGTTCTTATCAGCTGTCCATCTTTGGAATAAAGACCTGCATGCTTTGGAACTACCTTGTGGTCCCCTTTCACCCACCCTTTTCGAAATCGCTGCAATTACCGGATTAAAGCCCACAGGGGAGAAGTATTATAAGGGTGCTTTCCCTTTGGATAATTCCTTAAGGTCCAAAATCGATTGGGAATCGAAAGCTTATGGACACTTTCTCAAGAAACATTTTATCGATGATCCAACAGTGGCTGTTTCTGATGAGGAGCACGTGACCTTCTTGGTATACTGGCTTTGCACCCACGTTTTTTGCCCCCGATCCATCCAAATTTCATCCCACCTCTATAACCTTGCATATCTCCTCCACACTGGCCAACCTAGGGTTTGTTTTGGCAAAACTTTTATTAGCCCATGTCTATACTACTTTTGATGAGGTCGTCGATATTTTGAATACCGCAAGAGTCTCAGGGAATTTTTCAGGTCCTATTTGGTTTATTCAATTATGGCTCACCTCGATTTTTGAAAGTATCCTTCCCCCAACCTCAAAAATCCCCCCAAGTTTGAATTTGGAAGGTGCTCGATTGTCCTCTCGACATCCTCACCATAAACCTGACGAGGCCACTTATCGCAATTACTTGAGATTCTTATTAACTCGATTTCATCTTGATTCAATTTTGGCCCCTTTCAATGTGTATCTTGGACAAATAAGTGACAAACTTCGAGGGCCGACTTGGTTTAGATCGAAATTTCCTGCTCTTACTCCCGGGCTACAATCGGATTTGGTTGAAGTATGGAGTAATTACCTAGTCCAAGATGTTCTGGTATCGGGTTTCCAATCGAAGGACCTTCAGCTTGTTACTTACTATCCTCAGCTTTTCTCGAGGCAGTTTGGTTTGAGTCAAGCCTTACATTTTTTCCCCCTTGATACCTCCTCAAGGTCCAAATTAAGTGAATCGACTGTTGGACGGGAGCTCGCCAAACTGTTGCCAAAAAACCTGATGCATTTTTACCCTTATATTTTTTAATCCAATTATTTATCTACTCTTGGTTTCTCTCAGTGGTGGACCGATTGGTTTTCAAATGTTCATTCTGATTTTGACATAGTCCAATCAAAATTGACTGCTCATCCTTCTCTCGTGTTGCAGGACAAATCGAAGGCGAAGAAAGGTACATACTCTCACTATCTCCAAATATCTCGATTCAAAATTTTTATCGAGTATGCTACAACCCTTTGAAATTAGAATCGACCTTCTATGATGCTGTTATTTCCTTAGTCAATAAAACAGACACTAACCGATCAAACCACAAAATAATCAACCCTCGAAGCAAAACCTCATTTGAAATGTATTGTCCTAATTATCTTCCCACTTTCCCTTCAGCCCCTTTTGGACTAGCCAAACCTTTAACTCACCCTAAATGGGTTCGAGAGTTAAGATCCCCGAAAGAAACTCTTTACCTTAAACCTAAAAACAAAGAAATTTTGATATCGAAATTATCCTACTTCCCTTACCTAAATCTCCCTCAATCTCTTCTTCCTTCCTGGCTTGTTCATATCGACTGAGTCAAGATTTTGACTCCATCACCCTT